TGCTTATCCGTGAATAGCAGATTTTAGTTTTCTGCCAGCCCACAGAATTATTTAAACAAGTCAATTGCATCCTCCTGTAGGAACCGCTGGCCACCACACCCTCTTGATACTAACCAAGCCTGCTTCCCACAGCCTTTGCTTGTTCACTCTGCTCCTGAATGCACCCTCTGTGTGGCCCCACATGGCACAGTGTCCTTAGCCCCTGGGCTCTAAGGATATGGGACTCACAAGCTGCTATTGTCCTCACCTATGTGGTGTTGGGGGCGGTGTGTAATCCCCCCACCAATGAAACGCATAGGAGGCAATTAAGACAGTCCTTTCTTCCAGATCTCTCTCCAAGGATATCTGTGTCACAATGTCTGTGTCACCACAAAGTGGTGTCCTTATAAGAAAGTGGATAAGGTGCCTCCTTCTGGAGCAAAGAGCAAGGGAGCTTACGGTCCCTTAGGAGCCTCAGGCCAGGGCTTCTCTATTAGGCAACCCGCTGTGTGCGCAGGCGCCTGTCTGAGCCAATCCCAGTCCCAGTCCCTTGTGGGTCTTGGAGGAAAACAGAACCGACACAAGGAACCTTTGTTTATGCTGTTTGCTGTAGCATGAGTGATAAAGTCATTTATCTTTGAACCAGGAATCTCCTGTCTTCTGGCAGCAACCAGGAAACTGTGGCAGACTCACCTGTTAGCTTGTATATAGGATGAGATATGCTAGATCAGATGAAATGTAGAAAATCCTTCCAATACTTGCCTTTAGGTTCACTCAGTCCCCTCAAAACTCATGCATGTGTGGCCATGTATGGCTTGGTCTAATTTAGTCTGTTTGGCTCAAACATGTCCAGCTCAGGGCACTGTTAAGAGCTGAGAAGAACAAGTCAGGAATCCTTTAAGAATAGCACTATTTTTTCTTGTGTTACCAACGAGTGTCTTCTGTCTGCTTGGACCTTTAAGTTAGGGAGCCCCTTCTTCCTGACGGCCATCCATTCTTTCTAATAAGTTATGAGGACTGAGATTTGCCAGGTGTGTGTCTCTTTCTTATGAGCTGATGTTTCCTATCAGACTCATAAAAATTAAATATTGCAACAAATCACCCCTCCCTCTACTTGCAAAGAAAGGCGAGGGAGTTTTCTTAAGTTAATGATATCTTTCCCAATGACCCTACAAATATGAACTTGAGCCACAACTTGGCTTCAAGAATTAGTTCCTGGTCTGACATTTAGTTCAAGACATGCCCTGAACAGAACCCTGCTGTTGTATGGGAAATTATCTAGAAGCAACTGTGGCCTCTTGAGTACATGGCCTGTGGCAGAACAGAGGGGTGTGCAGACCAAATGAGGGTGTGAAACCTGCTACTTATTAAATCGATTGACAGCACGTAGTGGAAAATGAGGGGAAAGAGAAGGTGAACACTTCATAGCGGTGTGGGAGGGTAGACGGACCACACACCGGAATTCCAGGCCGTGAGGGACTCTCGAGCCCTCCCCCCCACTCCACCTTCTCCACCAGGGTCATGATAACATAAACCTCAGCTGGGGAGCAGGAGGTGGAGGGAGCCTCAGACTGACACATGGTCTTGCTTTGTCTAAGAGCCCCTGGGCGAGGGCTCCTGAGCCCAGCTGCAGCCCTGCACAATCCACAGAGCAGCCCATGTCTACGGCGCATTTCCGGGGCCGAGCACTGCTGATTCAGGGCTGAAAGTGTTGTCAGCCTAGCATACACCATCTCTTCCCTGTGACGTGGCTTCTGGTCCTTTTCTCTCCCCAGTGATGTTCTTGCTGTTTCCATCCTTCTCATCACATAGCATAACTCACAGGGTACCACTCCTTCACCGTCCGCTTTGAACATGACTTACGAACGCGTGCCCCCATCTGCACCTGACACCCCTCCAATTTCACGATGTCCACTTTGTCTTCCTGTCATCCACAGCAGAATGCCTCGTCTCAAACAGTGATGAACAATCGTGACAGCACTCTGTAACAGCTTGCCTTGGCCAGGGCTCCTTGGTCACGGTAACAGAGACCACTGCTGTGGCCCAACTGTGTTCCTCTGTGTTGAAGCCGGAACCCCCAACACCTCAGAATGGAATCGTATTTGGAGAAGGGGACTTTAAAGAGGTGATTAAAATTGTGAAATCAAGTTTAGCCTAAAGCCGCCCCCTTATGTATTTTAGTTTGGCCTAAAGTTTTCTCTGTACATCATGAATGTAGCAGATGGAGGTGTAAACCAACCCATAGCCTACACTTGTGCCAATCCCCGAGTTTTGACCAATCAAATGTAGCCAACTGTCTGAACCGTGTTCAAGTGAGGCAAACTCTGAGCTGTAACCAGTCCAGCTGTTTCCGCGCCTCACCTCCTTTTCCTGTGCACGTCGCTTTCCTGTCTCTGTCCATAAATCTGCTCCCACCAGGTGGCTGTGCTGGAGCCTGTGAGCTACTCCAACTTAGGAGGCTGCCCCATGTGTGAATGGTTCGTTGCTCCATTAAGCTCCTTTACATTTAATTCAGCTGAAGTTTTTCTCTTATCAAGTTACAGTGGGGTTGTTAGGGTGGGCCCTGGTCCAGTCTGGCTGGTGTCCTTATGAGAAGAGCACATTTGGACACACAGACCCCAGACACACAGACAAGCATGGGAAGGGGGGGCACCAGGGTGCTGCCTGCAGGCCAAGGAGTGGCTTACAAGACAAGTATAAACTGATATGTAACTGCCTTGAGCAGATCTGAAGTGGAAGGGCTGTTATTTTATTTTATTTTATTTTTTGACACGGTCTCACTCTGTCGCCCAGCCTGGAGTGCAATGGCACAATCTTGGCTCACTGCAGTCTCCACCTCTTGGGCTCAAGCAATCCTTCCACTTCAGCATCCCTAGTAACTGGAACCAAAGGCTTGCACCACACACTCAGCTAATTTTTGTATTTTTAGTAGAAACAGTTTTGCCCTGTTGCCCAGTATCCACTGGGTGAAGGCCCAGAAAACCCACAGGAAGGCCACCTTGTTAACTGGCCCTGCCTGCTGTCCTTGGTGAGAGCAGTTGTTGCTGGCCATTGTGGCTGGGCCATCAGCTCACTGCTCTATAGTAGAGGGAAGATATGGGCCTTGGTAACATATTGAAATGTAACAGGAAACCCAACTATCAGTGATTTAACCCATAAGCACCCTTGGGTTTACTTAGCATGATGTCTGGAGGTGGGTGAGGGGCTCAAATCAGCAGCTCAGGGTTATTAAGGCTCTAGCTCTTGGGCCTTACCTCATTATCATAGAATGGCTGCCTGCAGCACCACATTGCACCTCCCTTCCACAACGCCTAAAGGCAGGCTGCAGGGGCTAGCCTGGGAAGTCAGAAGTCACTTTCTTTCATCAAGGAAGAAATTTGTCCCCAAAACCTTCAAATAGATGCCCCTGTGTCTCATGAGCCACATAGAATTGCATAGCCACTTCTGGCTAAAAGAGAGGCTGGGAAAGTGAATTTTCCCCCCTTTCTTTGTAGAGGGCAAGCTAGGTAAGAAAGAAGGGAAGGAATGGATGGTGGACATCCAGGAAACAGTCTACTACCAGATGTCGAGGAGAAAGCCCACCTTCCTGGCACTGGGCAACCGTGGGGAGAAGGGACAGGACGCATGCCAGTTGGACTCTGAGAACCCCCAGCCTCGCTCCACAGTGGGCCAGCAGGAATCCAAGGGGTGTGGGCAGACCCAGGGGCTCCTTCACTCCCACCCAGGAGTAGAGAGGGCAGGTCGGGGTGGAGCGAGGTAAGAGACTGAACAGTGCGTCCCCCGAAAACTGTGACCAATAGAAGCTGTGCAAATTATGAAGACAAACTGAATTTTAAGAGGAATTGGACTAAATAAAGTTACCTTGTTTTTACCTGTAATTAGCAGACAGAGAATGTAAGATCAGACATACCATAGATGAAAAAGAGAAGCTAAAACTTCCTTACATCTGAGAGGTGAGAGGAGGTGTTTGTGGCCCCCCAACATATGTGACAACATGTATTGTGACAGCTCATGTATATGCTGCTGTGTGCAGGGGGCAGGGGGCTTCCTGTTCCACCCATGGTTCGGGGCCAGGGTGAAAGCCTGCGCTTCCTGGCGGTTCTTCATGGTGGGTGCCTCCTGGCTTCTCGGCCACTTTACCTGCTTTCCCAAGCACCCAAGGGTTTGGGAGTGATTTACTGGACCGGTTAATGTGGAAAGAGCTGGCCCTGCTTAGCTCTGCACCTCCCTCTTCCTCCCTGGAACCAGCTGGCCGCAGAGAGTAGGAGCTTTCTGGAGCTCCTGGGACCCCATCCCCAGTATAATTGTGCCATTTGTGCCAGCACAAGAGCACCAGATGTAGGGGCAAGTGGGAGGAGGAGGAACCCAGGGTGCAGGTGGCTTGGGTCTTGCTGAGCTGTGGTCCTGCAGCAAGGACGACCAGGTCAAGGGGAACCCTCTCCCAAACCTCTCCAAGGCGCAGAGGGGCCAGCGGGGATAAAGTGCTATTTTGGCTTTGATATCCTTCCCCTGTTGTTCTACTTTCTGGTTAGTTCAGACCTCAGGATGGGGAGGGGGTTTCCTGGAGGGGTCAGCTCATGCCGCCTTCTGCAATTTTCATTACCCATGCTCTCAGACACTTTGCTCCAGGTTCATCTCCAACGCCAATTTCTATTTGGAAACGCAAATACATGGAAAGGTAACTTGTGTCACTTGGCGGCTGGGGCATCGTGGTGAGTAGTTAAGAAATGCCAGGAGAGTTGGAGACATGAGTGTGGCTTGGACTTGCTTCTGGGGGACTCTGCACTTTCATGGAAGGAGCCTGAGATCTGGTCCTCGGGCATCAGCCCTGAGCGCTAAGAGCCAGGTGTCTCATGCGTGTCCCACTGTCCCCGCTTCCCACACTCCTCTACCATGCCTGTCCCAGCTCAGGCAGCCCAGAAAACACATAACCCACCGCGAGAGGCCAGGGCGAAAGGCCGCGCTTCACTTTCAAAGAAAGGAAAATCATTCATATTCTTAAAAGATTGAAAAGCACAGAATAACATCAATCTCTTTTAATTTTCAGGCCAATTTTGAGTAGTCAAAGTCAGAGGAGTCAACCTGTGTTGAGAATCAAGGCACGGCTTCGGGAGCGTGTCTGCGGTGTCCCGTGGAGGTGGCAGCCAAGCTCTGGGACCAACCACCGTGTCAGGATGCAGGCAGATCCCCGCAGAAATGTCTAAAATTCACACTCATCTACGGGGGTGAGGAGGAGGGAGGAAGAGATGCTTTAGTGAGGATAAGTATTTTCTTTCACATTTAAATGATTACAGAGTTTTTAGTTAAAAGTACCAACAGGCACATTCTTTAGAAAACATGAACTGTCAGCCAGGCACTCATGCCTGTAATCCCAGCTGTCTTGGAGGCTGAGCCTGGTGGATCATATGAGGTCAGGAGTTCAAGACCAGCCTGGCCACTATGGTGAAACCCTGTCTCTAGTAAAAATGCAAAAAAAAATAGCCGGGCACAGTGACACACGCCCGTTAGCCCAGCTACTCGGGAGGCTGAGACAGGAGAGTCACTTGAACTCGGGAGGTGGAGGTTGTGGTGAGCTGAGATCACACCACTGCACTCCAGCTCCAGGGCAACAGAGTGAGACTCTGCCCCTTCAAAAAAGAAAATGTGAACTGTCTTCAGGTTTTGTCATGCCTGCCCCCTCTATCCCAGGCAAGCTAGAAAGCGTAACCAGCAGTGGCTGTTCACGGGCTTTTGGTTAGAGAAGCCAGGGAAAGCCGGGTCCCTTCCCCAGCCCCTCAGCCCTGCCTTTCTATCCCCGGACCTGAATGCAGCCTGACTCAGGCTACCCCATGGTGCCACCACCTGCCACCGTGACTCGAGGTAAAGGCACAGCCGGTGATGCTGATCAGAGCCTCTGTGGTCTCACGTGGTTTTTCTAAATAATGCTAAATCTTCGGACCCCAGCATGGTGTAAAAAGGCCGTACCTTCTGGAGGGACGTCGATGGTCTTAGGAGTGAAGCACCAGGGGAACCCAGGAATGGTGTCATCAAAACAGCAGCCCTTACTTGTACACTGGGAGGCTGTGACACCAGGAAAACCACAATTCTTTCTTTCACGGGGGGCCATCACGCACGTCTCTAAAAGCGAGCAGGTAAGAAGCAAAGGTAAGTTGTGGGCTGAGTTCCTTGATGTTATCGTGCACACGCCGGTCCAGCTTACTTCTTGGTGACATCAGCAACCTTCGGGTGTGGCAGATATAAAACCCTCAGGACACGAGGGAGACCTGGTCCTCACCTCCTGGTGTGCAAACATTCCGCTCAGGGAAAAGGCAAGGGGCCCAGGGTTTGTGGACTTTGCATCTTTCTGGGTCACTTATTCACTCTTCAATTTCAACAAATGATTATTAAATTTTACTCAATACGTCAATATTTACTGAGCACCATTTGTGTGTATGAGAAGCAGGAGCTAGCATGGCAAAAGCCAGGCACTGTGCCGGGTGAGAGGGACCCAGAAATTCAGACCAGAGAAGTTGTTATAAGTCTAAGGATCTGGGCCAGGCACAGTGGCTCATGCCTATAATCCCAGCACTTTGGGAGGCTGAGGCAGGTGGATCACTTGAGGTCAGGAGTTCAAGACCAGCCTGGCCAACATGGTGAAACCCCATCTCTACTGAAAATATAAAAAATTAGCCAGGCGTGGTGGCGCACATCTGTAATCCCATCTACTTGGGAGACTGAGGCAGGAGAATCACTTGAACCTGGGAGGTTGCAGTGAGCCGAGATCATGCCACTGCACTCCAGTCTGAGCAACAGAGCAAGACTCCATCTCAA